TGCGGATCGTGCCGCAGTCTACCTGTACCTGTCAATTGGAATCTGATCTGTTATGACCTGTCCCTACTAGCCATCTCCTATCATACCGTCCTGCCAGCCCGCACCCTGACATTCAGTCCCTGAATGCTGGCTTGTCATCATCAAGATGGTCCTCGAGAACTCGATCTTCTTCATCCGCATCTAACCATTCCTGTAAACGCATAGGGGGACCACCGGGCTTTTCAGGATACTGCGCATGGAACTCCTGTATTTTCCTTGGTGCATGTTTCATGTCACCGGCGGGATACCATTGTAAATCGAGGTCATGTCCCACCCATTGTACTCTGTACTGTAACTTCCTGTAGTGCAATCTGACGTCCAGAATCTTCTCGACTTCCCATTCGTCTGTCTCTCCGACCTGTTTTGGTGGAGATAGGTCTATGTGTTGTCCTTCTAGGGGCTCTGTCGTCGCTGCCTTTCGTAGCTTGCTTGGATGGAAGATAGGGTGTGAGTGTACCCGAATCGCTTCCGGGAGATCTATCTTGTAGGAGTTCCCTATCTTCTCGAGCTGTAACAGTCTAGGTATTCGATCTCTCTAGGTCTTCGTACGTTTACAGATCAACGTATCGCTTCACGTTAGTTACCCATCCATACTAGTGATATCTTGTAGATACCAGTTTCTTTAGATTCTCGACACTAGGATATATAGTTAACGGTTAACGGTGTACTTCATCAAGTAGACGGACACGAAGATCTCCTTCATTAGGAACCTCAAGTCGTCCTTCGTAAAGGAGCAGCCCATCTAACAATGTCCATCGGGAACTACTTCCATCTCGCACTATCTAACGGAACTCGTCTAACTCTAAGCTCTAGCGGTTGGCTTCCTTTATCCGTTGAACGATCCCAATCGTCTCTGTTTCTTCTAAGTGAATAGGAGCTAGATAAGTTAGGTAGACTCCCTCTTCAAGATAGTCTTTCGGAAGCATCACAAACTATCGTCCATTGTCTACACAAGGAGATTCTTTTCGTGATAGGACATCGGTAATAATATTCTTCTTCCCGGGACAGTATTTAATCACGAAACGAAACTAAGATAGGAACTCATTCTATCTCGCCTATCGTTGGTTCATTTATCGGGTTATCATAAAGTGCTCAAGTGACTGATGGTCAGTGAGGATCTCGAAACGATCCTTCTGGGATAGACCATTAAGTTTAGGTCTCTACTCCTGTAAAGCACGAACAATTGCAAGAAGCTCTTTATCGCGAACTTCATAATTTAGCTCCGCAAATTGCATTGTTTTCGAATAGAAGGCCACCGGGTGCTAGAAATCTTCCTATTGTACTGGGAGAGCACCGCTCCTAGAACTCTATTAGATGTGTCTGTCTATCTTAACTCGGGTTTATCGAACTAGATCGTAGTGCCGGAGGATCAGTGCACTAACTAGCTTCTTCTTTAGAGTTTAGAATGCCTTTTCACAATTCTCTGACCACTCGATCTCTAAATAAATCGTCGGTAGAAGTTGCAGAATCCTAAGAATGACTGCATTCCTTTCACTATAGTCGGTATCGTCTATGATTGGACCACACGAATTTTCTCTAGATCCACGGCTATACCATCGGTGCTCAATCTAAGGAACCTAGTCTTCTTCACTGAAAATTCGGATTTTAATAAGGCCACTTATAACCCTGCTTTCTGTAGACGACGGAGTACTTCTTTGACCTATCGCTGGTGATCTTCGACGTTTTCACTATAGATCAAGATATCATCCACGAAGGCGACTGCATACTCGTCTAAACATTCTCGAAGAATCTCTGGAAGGTCGCCGGTCCGTTCGTTAAACCAAATAGTGTCTTGTACTTAAAGGATCCTTATCTCGTACGAAATGTAGTAAGGTCCTCCGCTCCTGGTGTTAAATGAATCCGGCGGAAGCCTTGCTGGATATCAAGCTTCGGGTAGATCTTCGCCTTGCTTGTTCGTTGTAATACCTCGTCAATCAACGGTAGGGGGTAATAGTCTTTATTGGTGATTGCGTTCAGTCTCCGGAAGTCAACATAGAATCGAAGTCCTCCATTAGGTTTTTTCGCTATCAGAATCGGGGATGCGTATGGAGCTGAACTTGGAACAATGAATCTCCTTTTTCAAGGTTGTTAAGAATACATTTCTTTACTGCTTTCAGTTCTTTAAGTGATAGCTTATAGAGAGGCCAATATCCAGGTTTTGCTTCTACTTTAAGAATGATGTCATGATCTACACTAGGTCTATGGGGTGGTAGTTCGTCGGATTTCTTTTTCGAAAAGACTTCCGCTAGATCGTGGTAATCTTTCGGGAGAGTCCTTAAGATCTCGTTAATTTTAGGATCCTGAGTCTATGCTCTTTATATCGATGATATGGTCGATCTCATAAAGTGAAGTTGCAAAGGTTTCAATCTCCTTCTTCACCCTTCCTTTCTCGTGGAGTCTATTGAAGCTAACGCCTCCAATTGCACTAATATCGATTGACGGAAATGTCTCTTGTCGTTGAATCTTCGGGATCATTGTCTTATGTCGTCCCTATGTATGTTCGATACCTCTCGATTAAGAAGACGGTCTCGTCGATTAGCATCGGCTTAAGGGTTAGGATTCGGCTTCGGTTTCTAGAGAATAGCAGTATGTGTTAGCACTACTATTTCGCTTACTACATCGTCGAAAAGTGTCTTCTCGTCCGGCTGGATCATTCGGTATCGACGGCAGTCCAATAGGACATCATTTTCTGCAAACCATTTTCTTCCGAGAATCATATCGTATTTTCCGAGATCGGCAATCAACATCGGAACTTGCTGCTGTATCCTTCCGTCCACACACATTGTAAGAAAGGTGACATGTGTTATCGCCTTACTAGGCTTCCCGTCAAATCCTCGAACAGGACATTCCTGTCCTATGCTCTCTGCTTTCAATCCAAATCGTTTACCGAGAAGTACACTTAATTCTCGGTTCAAAAACACGTATCCATCTGCTCCAGTATCACCAAGCGCTGAGATAGAAAAAGAGCGTCCATGGTGCATTAGTCTAGTGTTAAAAACTAAACTATCCCTAGGACCTCTAATCAACTTATATAAATCCAGCGAGCACAGTGATACTTTCTATCCACCTAGGTAGGAGACTTGACCTAGGCATCGGCTTTTCCCTGATCGTTGTCTTCTTTATTGTCGAGTTTTTTGATACGAGGAGAAGGGTGGGCTATAGCAACGGTGCTAGCTAGTCTCTTCTTTGGATGAGAATGACTGTATGCACACCCCTTAGCGTCATTTTTTGCCATCTGCACACC